AACAAAAAAAAGATAATAAGTTAGATGAAAAAGGAGTGTTGATTGTTGTATCGATAGTTGGTGTTGTAGTTAAATATTTAATAACAAATGTTCCCATGGATAAGTAGGATGATGAATCGTTCTTGCGTGATTGCCTTAACCAAATTCAATTATTGGAGTATAAAATTCGGACTTTGATATCTAATACTTGAAAGAAATGAAATTAGTATTCAATATTAATAATATTAATTTTACATATGAGTGTCGCCAAAAGAAAACCCGAAAATTTAAATATGACTTATATTTAAATTTTCGGATTTTCTTTTAACGACACTCATATAACCAATTAATTTAAAGATGAAAACTCACCCGTCGTCCACCACGATTTCCTCCGCGACTTCGCGATGCACCTCTTCGCTTGCTACCTCGTTTTCTAACTGTTACCCAATCACCATTTGCAACAGTTGTAACTATTGTATTTATACCACCATTAATTATACCATCGGTTATACTATTTGCATCGCTGCTCATTTCATTAAAGAAGTCACTACTTGGTCGCGAATTACATGGGGATTCTGGTGGCGTTGATATGTTGGCGATAGAATTAGGCGTCTCACTAATAATTTCTTGTTTTTTTGATGTAGCCAGTAACGTTTCAACTTGGGCTTGTAAACACGCTATTTCTTCTGCGGCTGGTTTGTTTTTTTCATTAAAAAAAATTACACATAATTATTTATTTATTTATTTTATTATTTTACTTTTATATATACCAAAAATTTATAAATTCAATTAACCTTGCGTTTTCGTTTGCTCAAGTTGTTTCCGTAATTTAGCATTATCGGTTTCAAGTTGATATATTTTAGATTTTTCTTGAACTATAAAATATATAAAATATTATTTTGTAAATACAGTATAAAATATAAAATAAAATACTTTTCCATAATTTAATAATAATGGTAATAATTTTACCTTGTGAATTTGTCAAATTTTGAATTTGATTTGTTAATTGTTTTATAGTCTTGGCATTTGCCTTTTTCTCTTTTTCATGTGTAGCTTTAATTTTATTCAATTGTTCTTGTGTATCTTCAAGTTCTGAACCTGTTCGTTCTTTTTGATTTCGAATATCTTCTTGATAAACAGATATTATTAGAGAAGTGAGGCCATCTCTATATGCCATCATATCTATGTATTCATTAACTTCTTCTTTAGCAGCTACTAATTCAGCTGTTGCTCGTTTTAATTTATTGTTCGTGGTGGCAAGATCTGCTTTTGCTGTATCTAGTAATGATTTGATAGAGGATAAATCAGCCTTTGCCCACTCAAGTTTTGATTTAGTAAAAGAAAGTTGAGCTTTAGTCGAATCAAGTTGTGATTTAAAAAAGGAAAGCTGTGCTTTGGTGGCCTCTAATTCATCTGCATGTTCTTCTTTTGTGGCATGGAGTTCAGCGGCATATTTCGCTCTTATAACACCTATTTCAGCAGTACATTTTGATTTAGTAGCTTCAATTTCAGCTGAACACATTGCTTGTGCAGCATCAATTTCCGAACTACATTTTGTCTGAGTAGCTTCAAGTTCTTCCCGCGTAGAGTGAAGATCGGTTCGGGCAGTCTCAAGTTCTTGTTGAAGAGAAAGTATTTGGTCTGCATGTGTCTGTACAAGTTTTTCTCGTTCTTTTAATTGTTTTTGTATATCATAAAGTGCTGCATCCCTTTCACTTATTGTTGCTGAAAGGTCTGTTTTAGCTGCTTGTAAATCATGTGCACATTCAAGTAATGAAAAATTTAATTCTCTTATTTCTCCTTCTCGAACTTTAAGTTCGGTTTTGGTTTTATCTAATTCTGCTTGTAAATTTTCTTTTTCCTTTCTCATTTTATTAACAATTTCTGTTAATTGTTCAATAATTTCGTCACGTTCCGGGAGCAAGGCCTTAAGGTCCCGGACCTCATGACTACGCTCCTTGAGCTGCGTCTGGGCTTCTTCCAATTCTACTCGTGCTCGATCTCTTTCTGACTCTATACCTTTAATCCTTTTATTTAAGGCCTCCAGCGTAGCCTCCCGTTGTCGTATCTCTTCCTTTAGTCCATTTATGGTAAAGGCTTCAACAGCAGTGGCACGAACCTCGCGAGACGCTGTTTGATCTCTTTGACTTCGATTCTTTTTTTTCGTAAGATATGTTTTTAAAGTTGATGAAAAATCTTTTTCTCTCTCCGGTTTAGGAGGAATGTTTGATATACCTTCATCTTGGGTACGAAAGAAACCGAAGCTGTGCCTGCTTTGTCGGCCTCCAGGGTTCCGGCTCTTGAGTTGCAAGAACTTCAACGTTTTCATACTTTCATGGGGAAATATGGCATTATTTTAGAAAAAATCTATATCTTTTTTATTAATTTTTTTGAACAAAATTATCGTGGATTATGTCGTGCAATATTACATGCATTATTGTTAGTTTGTTTTGATTCCCAAAAGGTACAAAATTTATCATACCACATATAGAACTTTTTGAACAAAAGTAACTAAGTACCACATTTTCATGTTAATCGTACTACAAAATGATTAAATTTATTAAATTTAATATAATTAAGTTTTTTTTACACTTATATGCATTTACGATATAGTTTTAAACGACCCGATGGTCAAGTGGAACCATAAGTATTGAGTTTATGGGACCATTTTAATTTATTAATTTTACAATACCATAATAAGGGTTGTTAATTATGTTGTGTAGTTATTTAATAAGTTGACCTCAGCGGGCTAGTGTGCATATAGGTAACAAACTTTAGAGTATTATTATTAGTGGTGTTTTTTAGTTTACGCAACTTGAAAGTTTTGAATCACTTGCCATTTCTGTATAACTTTTCCAACCATTAATTGTAATTAATGCAACTCATTTTTTCTAAATTTGCATATTTATAAAAATCTATGATACACAACTTTGGTCAACGAAAAAAATTACTGTAATTCGGAATTTTTTTAACTGCCCTTGTATTCCTACTCGGGTAGAAACATGGCTGAAAGATTAACAGATTTTCTGAAGTGCCCAATCTTTGAGTCACGACATTCTCTTTTCTATTTGAATAACTTTCTAAATTAAGATTTTTAAAAGAAATGATGATCCCCCCTTTTTTTAATGCGAATAATCGAATAATTTTTTTATTGCCTATCCCAATTTTTTTGTGTTGGTTTGTTATTTCATTATGTAATCTTAAGTATTAGTTCGAACAATAGATAATTCTTTTTTGTAAAAAAAAAAAAAAAAAAAAATCAATTATACCTGCATCCACTTCTAAGTACCTGCATACATTCCACAAAATAAAATCATCGTCATTATTAGTATGTTATTAGTATATTATAGTATATTATTAGTATGGTAAAGAATGCAAAATTTTCGAGTTTGGTTAGAATTTTTTATGCTAGAAACTTTATCCAAGATTAGCTAGATCGATTTCTTGAAATAATTCGATGACTTTAGGTAATCGAGAATATTCTTTAATTAAAGCAAAATCACTGGTTCTTGTAACAATGACGTTAATGTATGATGAACCGTTTCTAATTAATGAATGAGATTTGTAAAATGTCGCGGTGACGTGATCGTCGACCGTTTTTCCGACTCATTTGATCATATATATAGCGATAACATTTACATTATACTAAATTAATATATATATCAATGTTATTATGATCAATATATTAATGGTCGACGATTACGTCACCGCGACATTTTTATGGCTTCCTTAAAATAATTAAAATAATGAAAGGGATTCTTTGAACAGTCATGTGATGATGATATCATACATTTTTAAGTACGTACGTGCGTACGTACGTACTTTTACCAGAGATGGAGAGGTGAATACTATTGGACCTAGCATACAAATTTACTCCTGAATAAATTCCTAGCATATATTCAAGAGATATTATGATTTGCATATCTAATTAACATAATGACTCCATAACGATAATCATAAACTGTCAAACTGTCTTAACCAGTGTTTTATATTTACATCATTATACTTCATTTTATATAATTGACCATCATTACTCATAACTTGCTCTTTTATTTAATACAGTAATATTTCATGTCAAAATTTTTCACGCATTGACAGACATGATGTTCCATACAAAATATATATATATGTATACAGTATTTGCAATAAAGTACTTCGATATAAATAAAACTATCGATAATTGGAAAATGAAACATGAATGCCTAAACTGACTTCATTTTCAATGCATGTACATACGTACACACTTGAGCCAAATAAAAAGAAGATCTGACTCCAGAAACCAAAATACGGTAATTTTAATTGACGATCCTGTTCCAATAATATACGATTAAATTCTTTATTTTAAGTAGCTCGTTGATCTTTAACAATAATTGACATTAACTCTATTATAGGGTTTCGCCGAACGATCATCATGTTTTGTATATCGAGAGCATCGCGAAATTAGTTTAAAAAGATGTAGATTTTCACCAGATCTATTTTTTAAGCTTAACGTTTACGTACATACATACTTATAATGTACTGTACATACGTATGTACGTACATACGTGCGTATGAATATATATATATATATATATCTAGATATATACGCATTTTATTAAATTTATATTATCAATTATGTACGTACGTACGTACCTTTTATTAAAATATAAGTTCACATGACATAAAAATTCAGTATTACCTATTTTAAACTTAATTAATTATTCTTTTCAGTTTTTTTATTCAACTTTACCACATTCACTGTAGAAAATATGTGTTTGTAGACCCATACATTTTTGCGTGCATTTAACAATAATAAAATTTATTTTTCTTATGTGTCAATTGAATATAATTGACAATGCGTAATTTGAAATGTTCCCTGCGTATATCAAAATTTATTATAATGTTGCAATTGTATGCTGAAACAATTATTTGAATGTTGCCAAGTAATTCTAAAAATAATTTATTATATAATTTCATAATAATTTATTAAATAAATATTCAATTAGCAGTGAATATTCAGTTACACAAAATCCGTGAATTATCTATTCACTGTAAATATCCGTGTGAATATTCCGAATAATTTATATGAATATCCATGTGAATGTGCAAATATTCCATGTGAATATATCTGTGTGAATATTCAATGAATGTCTTCTGTATGAACATTCAATGAATATCTGTGTGAATATCTCTATCTACTAAACCGATCACTCATAACTCTAGTCAAATTTGCAAGTTCAAAATTTTTTGATCACAAATGATCTGCAAATTCGACCAGAATTATAAGTAATCGATTCTGCTATTTAGAAATTAGTCCCTATCGCTATGAAGAAAATTTTGTCTGAAACCTACTGAATTCATTGGATTTGTGATGAATATCCACGAATTCTCTATGAATGTCCACAAATTCTTTGGATATCCGCGAATTCTCTATGAATATACACGAATTTTTCTATGAATATACACGAATTTTCTATGAATATACTAGAGTTGGTAATCGAAACGAAACATACCCGAAACTAGTTTCGGATTTTTTTAAAAAAACCGAAACCCCGCAACTATAATCCGAAACCTCAAACTATAATCTGAAACTTTAAAAATTATAATATGGGATCTTTGCTAGGAAAATCACCCTTCGACATTTTCCGATCGGGTTAATTCGGACAAATTCAAACCAATATACCAGTCCCTATTTGCATGTAAATCATTTTTGCCTTATTGACTCAAACGTTCATTCGATAAGCTATTGAATCAAGAAGTGAAAATATGATTTACATGTAAATAAGAACCGGTATGTTGGTTTAAAATGGTCCGAATTAGCCCGATCGGAAAATGTCGGAGGGTGATTTTCCTAGCAAAGATCCCATATATTAAACTAAGACAGCTAATGATTTAATTTAAAACGTAACTATTGATGCGCTCCGAACAATATACTTACAACTGGTAATTTAATACAAAAATTTGGATTTGTTTAACATTTTTCATCCAAAACAACTATCTCTCAAAAAATATAATAATCATCATTATTAAAATCAATGAAAACAACATATTCTGACCTCTTGCTTATTATGTTTAGAGGAAATTTCTACAAGAACGATACCGTTAATTCCTAGCACAAATCCAAAGAATCGATCAAAACATTGCAAGAATAATTTCCAAGTGACCAAGGAAATTACATCCGAATTCCAGTCGGGATGACCCTTGGAGATCTGACTAATAATGCAAACGTACCACGCTTAATGGTGTCCAGTGCTGAAAGTTACATGATTGCTTGGAGTACGAACTGTGACGAACTATGAATTTCGGTATAATGGCAATGAAATTCTTAATTTAGAAAATCAAAAACAGTCAATGAGAGTACCTCCAGAATATGCTATTTATGTTGAACTTTAGTTGTTAATGGTATATATATGTATTAAGAAATTACGGATTGATTGATTTGCATTATAAATAAATAAATAATAACTCTCGAAGTCAGCTTATTAGTGTGTTTACCTTGAGACAGTGCTAATTATAAACGGAATCAGTCACCACCATTGATCGAAAATTTTCTTATCACATACAACTATCCAAACCATATTTCAAATAATCGCACTTCATGCCTGGTTCCATAGAATTCCGCTTTATTTTACGAAAAAATAAAAAATTTAATTACTTGGGGGTTTACGTAAATATGAATGCCATTTTCATCGGGGATAATAATAAAGTCTTTAGAAATTCTAATCATTGGTTTAAAAAAAGATTACTACTGGGTGATGAACGTAGAATGATTTGAGTAGAAGGAATGGAATCAAATAAAGGTTTTTACCATATGTTTGAGCAATTTATACTTAGTTTATTTGTTATCACTATTTATTCTGTGCTTAATTAGGATGTAAGCTACATAGGAGATACTTAGACGATTGAAGGTGTTTTATATATTTACGCAAAGTTACCCTTGATACCCTTATTTCCTTGACATTATAAATACGAACTCATACTAGTTATATTCATATATTCGCTCCGGAAAACTGATCTAGCGTTACCAACCTAAAAACTAAAAAAAGGTTCGTTATTAGATTAGAGTTAGATTTTGCCATTAAGTTTACCAAAATTTCGCAAGGAAAACCTTTTTGTAGATAAATGAGCGTTTCTTCTGCGTCACACTTGATCTTGAAATCTGATTGGCCAGTGAAATTTTTTAGGTCGGTAATGCTAGTCATTAATTAAATGGTTTCAATTTTTGCATTTAATACTATGCGCATGACACTTGCTTCCACAGTCTACTTCTGCAAGAATTACTTTCCATTCACACTTATAATTACATTTCGTGTCGGTTATAGTAGAAACAGACATTCTTGCGGCTTTTCGTATACTAATAATTTTGTCTTGACAAACTTCAAGCTCTTCATATTCTGTTGGCCCCAGTGGTATAATTTCATTCTATTATATCGATCAACGAGTATTTCATTTTACTTTGTAAGTAGACCAGTTGATGTTACGTATACGTAATACATTTTCGGAATTGCAATACATATGTATATATATAGTCATTAATAGAATACTGGAATAATTGAGCAGTTCCCACCCGCCTCCCAATATTGATCTTTTGAGTTTCCAAATTTGTATTAGTATGGTCATGTAAAAAAAGAATATCGGTATTCTTGGGTTGATATTTAATTCGAGATTAGTGATGCAGTAGAATCGTCCCAATGATGCCCAATGATAGTTGTCACATGGCTGTAACTTGCCGTAACTATAGTAAGTAATATAATAAAGTTACGGCTACGTAACTTTATCATATTACTTACTATAGTTACGGCAAGTTACAGCCATGTGACAACTATCATTGGGCATCATTGGGACG